ATATATATATATATATATATATATATATATATATATATATATATATACACACAATAATATAGAACACTCACATTTATACAGTAAGGCCTAGAGGAGTGTGTTAGACTGTACAGGTTGGTTTGGAATGGAACCCTCTTGCCAAGGTGAAATGAAACTTGACTATGGCATTAAGCCCATACAGAATCCTATCGATCTGCATAAATGTGCATGGCTTTTTGTGAATGATAAATTGCCAGGTATTCACTGTAAGCAAAATCATAGGGAAATAAAAGCCCACACAGTAACAGCTGTCACTAAATATAAAAACGTTCTGTATATACAACATTTATATGTCAGAAATAATCCGAAACAGCAAAAAGTAACAGCTGTGTTTATTTTGTGGGGATATTCTGCTGACAGAGGAGCTATCAGATAGATAAGAGCATACCCAGCGGTGAGATGTGGAAACCTTTTCCTGTTATCAAGTCTAAGCTGACGGCTGCTCTGATCATCGTCACTTTCAGGTTCCTCAAAGCAAGGAGCAATTCATACTTATCTATCTGTAATTCTAAACAAAAAGACCCTGTTGACCTTATTATGTACACTGGGCTGTTTCTTTCTTTTATGGACAAATCACATTCTTTTGTTGTGTCTGTCAAAATCCCATTCATAGAAAAATGTATCTTACACATTCATCTCACAAGTCAATTATTTCAATGTATTCCCTCTTGATAATCAACTCACTATAAATTTTATGTTTCATCTTCAATACTAAAGGCAACAATGAACAGCATGTGGTTGATCCTTCTCATCACATCCACTGATGAGGACTTTTGTGGAACATCATATTTCTAATGATTACATGATCTGTTTAGTCCACAACTCATTGTTTTTCAGTTGTTTTTTTTATATTTGATTCCGTACGGGACATAGAAAACATCAGATGTTGAAATTAGGAAGATTTCTTAATTTTTCTGAAAAACATATTATCTCATCTGGGATAGACCTTGGATGGCAGCCCAAGTGACACTGCAAGGAAAACAGCTGGAAGACCATGTTGCAACTAAATAGGTTAATTGGTTACAGACTGATGGAATGGCTAAGTACAAATATAAGCATTAGAGAAATAGTTTGGGGCCTGGGTTCAAGTCTCAGCTTTAGGTCTTTAGCTGCATGCCATTCCTATATCCCTCTGCCAAACCTGTTGTTCAGCCAATGTAAAACAAAAAGGTAGATCGCAGAAGAAATAATAGCAGAATCTCAGATGTAAAGATGGGCAGGTGTTTAAAAAAATGCACAATAGACTGCATCTACAAAGTGTGGAGGAATACAATTGTGCTGAAATGTAAAATAGTTAGAACTTGAACTGTCATTGTTAAAATGTCATTAAAGACATCCTCTGGTTCTGGGGAAATCGCGAAAAGGGACATGGCTGAAAATCAGTGCTGGAATGGACATCTGGACATTACAAGCAGGCAAGACTCATGTTCAGTTGCATGGGAAATCATATGAACCATGTCCTCTGGTCAAAACAGAGGAGTGCTCTGGGGAAACTTTGGTGTCTTTAAACCTGCAGATCTCACATCTGAAAAGGCAGCAGTGTAGGTCCATACAGATAGCCATTCCCATTCAGTTTAGAGTCACCAATTAACATAACACGGATGTTTTTTTTGGATGATGGGAGTATCTGGGAACCCTCTAAATGTGAGAAGACCATGCTTAACACTGCATCGTGCTGCAGCTCATAATGCTAAATCACAATATGCATCTATTTCCACAGCAGAGCTTTGTGGTGGTGGTATGAGTGGAGGACTGGTCTGCCTGCAGTCCAGACCTTTAACTCAGTAAAGAAACACTAAGCACATCATGACAAGCAAAAATATCACAAAGACAGACCGGGATTGGATTGAATCCTTTACCGTGAAAGAATAAGACAGCTTCCCTGGTCTCCTCAGTTCCAGCGCATTTGTGGATTATGTTAAAAGGAGCTTGAACGCTTAAAAACAGTAAACATTGGCCTGACCCAGTTTTTTTTTCGATGTGTTGCTGCCGTCAAATTTTATATATTAAAACATCATCATAAAGAAAACTTTTAGACTTCCAACATTTTATGTTTTCCATGTGTCTGTGTTCTATATTTATGAGGAGATTTCCAAATCAATGACTTTTCCTTTACATTTCACACAGCTTTCCAACTCTTTGGATTTGAAGTCACATGCAGAGTTTCAAACTACTGACCACCGTGGAACATTTTGATGGTAATTCAGATGACAAGATTAGAGACTTTCTAACTGACCCTCTCTGGTTTATGTTTTTGCATAACTGAGCAATTGAATAAACTGGCTTTTGCTTTCTCCACTCCTGGCGCTTCCACATATGAAAAGTAGTAGTAGTGATAGGGAGATGTCAAAGGGTTTGTAAATGAAAAAAAAGAAAACAAGGGTAACCATAATTGGGTTTTTGCAAGTTCACAAATCTGTGTGCCACACTCTGTGCTTTTGACTTTTCTTTCTTTTCTTTCTTTCTGGAATTCGTGCCAATTGACTGAGCAGAAAATTACTGGTGTAAGCCTGCAAGTGGGAGATGATGTGAAAAGCAGAGTCTTCCATAACACCCCCTCATTTTTACTTACATTCACAGTAACCCCACACAGCTAACCTGTTACTTGTCGACCTTCAAATGTAGGATTGAGCTGAAACATCTTTTAGGTGGAAACACAGAGAGCTCAAATCAAAGCCGCTAACGAAGCCCGAATAAATGAAAACCCAGAACGTTTCAATCTTATTAGGATTTTTTGTGTTTTCAGGTCTCATGCTCTAGCTGAGTGTGATCTTGGAGCTACAAACTTCTAACTTCAAAACATTATTTGTCCATAACTCAAAGAAATGCTATAGGTCTATGCACAGTATGTCTCTCCCTTAGAACAGTCAATGACATCTCCCACAGCTTCCTCTGCCCCTCAGGATGGATAAAAACACAAAGGGGGTCAGAATTAAAGGGTCAGGGGTCATATGGGGGGGGCATGTTTGCCCAGAATGGAAACCAATCCTGAGTTAGCAGGAATCTGCTGAAGTACGCACCACTGAAGGCACTTTTTTAAACAACAGTGCTTCTGTTCTAAGTAATTCAAGTTCAAGCGAGAATAAACTATGGCCTTCCACTCAAGTAAGACTTTCGTATTGATGTACTTTTTTGTTCCTTTTTGTTAACCTCAGACAGTGAGAGCATCTAAAGCTTCGACAGAGAGGCAGGCAGAGGGCTAACAGTGTTGGAAGGGAGAGGGGGGAAAAGTTGAACCATACAATGTTACGAAAAGAAGTTCTACAAATGAAAGTAAAACGAAATTTGGATTTTTAAAGGAAACTAGGAGTTTTGTCTACATCCAGCATATAAACTAAAGCGGGAATAAAAAAAAAAACAAGGGAAACACATGACGAGAGGTCTGCCAATCAGAACTTCCATTACAGAATCGGGCTTAGAGCAGGAGACGGTTGAAAGGAGCACCTGAAACTGACTCGCACTGGTCCTCCGTGGTGGGTAATTCGATCGGTTGGTTGGTCATTGTGAATGTGTCATTGTTTATGCGTATTCAAGAAGGGTGTCGTAGCCCCGTGTGTTTTGGGGGACGGATCATGGCAGGCCAGCTGACGGGATAAGGGTGTGTGTGTGTGTGCGTGTGTGACAGGCAGATTTGAATTTAATCGTCCCCTCCTCCGTACATGTCGGCCAGCTTCTTGAAGCGGGGGCCCCAGTCGTTGAGGTAGTCATAGTCCTGGTCCCCCGTGCTGGAGGAGTTGAGGGTGCTTACGGAGCCGGCGGTGGAGCCACTGCCCTCATAGTCAAACACCAACAGGGAGTCATATGGGGGGGCCGTGGGGTCGTTGTCTGCTGCCCGCAGGCCCTGAAAGGTTAAAAGTCTGTCATGAGCAGCGGATGGAGCAGTGAAGGGGAATAAAATGATCGCTGTAATAATCGAGAAGCTGCAAGATGTAATCAAAATCAAACAATCAAAGATCAAAATCGGTTTTATCCTATCAGGGTTGTAGTGCACTGGAGTTGGTCCCAGCTAAATAAGGGCCAGAGGGTGCTGTCAGTCTCTCACAGGGCTTCCACAGGCAATGATGCACACTTATTTATTTATGAGGGAGGAGAGTTAAAAGCAGGTCACACAGACTAGAAGGCTGTTTTTGAGGCTACCCTTTTGCATATGTATTTTTTTTTTGGTTAGTTATCCCTCTCAGACTGGAAAATGTGGGGGTGGAAAGTGAAATGAATCACACAAGACTTGAAGTAGCCAGTGTACTACCAACTGTGCCATTTATTTATCGCCGTAAGCATGACTTAATTCAATTTAAGCTTCACATGGCTTCAAAAGTTGGAGGAAGCACTGCTGAGACTTGATCGAAGGGGGAGGGCTTTTTAAAAAAAATGTTACTCACGTTAATTAATTTGGAATGCTGAAGGCACAGGTTATGAGAAGATAATGATTGCCAAAACACATTAAAAAGATGACCTGGGATCTCCATCTAAATGGATTTGTGCCAAACCACAGCACCAGGCCCCTTTGCAACCCTTTCGTTTGCTGCTCTGCCGTTCCTTCGTGTTTTGGATTAAGCAAAACAGTACTTTCTGCTATTTTTTAAATTATTCTGATGTTATAAGATTTTTGTGTTGAAACATTAGGAGCTCAAGTAAAAATCCAATACTGACCATCAAGTTTTGGTTTCAGATTATTTTCCAGACTTTTTTTGTCTTCTTGAGTAGTCTTGTTTCTAACAATGACAAATTAGGGCTATGGCCTGAGGGCCAGGCAGGTGAAGGAAACAGGCCGGGGTGACTGAGAAATAATGAGATGTTGTGGATAGAAATCTGAAAAGCCTCAACCCCCCGTGAATGCAGAGCATGGTACAGCGCAAAAGGCAAAAAAAAAAAACAGCCTGTGTTTGCTTTTTCTCGTATTTGACCAGGTGGCTGGAGCGAGATCAGGTTAGGATGTACACGTGTTTGCGTGCGAGTGAGTGAGTGAGTGAGTGAGTGAGTGAGTCTCTGCGAGACAGCTCCGTGGCTGGATGGATCAAAGCTAAACAGCTGCCAACACCTCTCGAGTGTGAACGTGCTGTCGCAAGTCTTGTCAATCAGGATTTCCTCACACTGGTGTGCCGACGCCAGAGCTGGTGTGTGTGTGACAGTTGACGTGTGCATGTATTTGTGCCTGTGGAGACGTGAGAGTGGCTGTAGAGTAAAGCAAGAGTTTCTATTCCGAACAACATCCAAAAAAGCAGTAATCATGGCTAATCAGTATTGTCAAAGAGACGGAAAAGTGAGAGACGAGTTGTATTTGCGTATACAGTACACACTGGTAGGTTTGTGTGCTCACCTCATGGATGAAGTCCCCGATATCTCCGGGGTGGGGCACAACAGGTCTGATGGGGTACTGGGACTCAGGAATGATGGGACGCTCGTCCACCCGGCGGATGCCGGGCGGCTTGCTGATGATGTGGTCCAGGGAGTCGGGCTGCTGGAGCTGGCTCAAGTCGTAGTCCTGCAGGGCCACAGGGTAAGAAACAGATGTAAGCAACATCAAAGTCAACAGGGTTTGCGCACGTGTGGTTTGTCTTTCAGGACCTCACCTGGTCCTCCTCTCCCCCTCCCTCCTCGTCGTATTTGAGGATGTTGTCTCTGACATCATCCTCGGGGTCAATGAGCAGTTGCTTCGTCTGCCTCTCCTTCTCTCTTCGCTTGATCCACATCACAAACAGCAGCACCATGCCTGCAACCGCACACACACACACACACACACACACACACACACACACACACACACGGATGTTACACAGCTTCAGGGAGAGCCGTGGCAACTGGCAACCACAACAAAACAACTTCACACAGCGGCGGGCCTTAAGCTGAGCCGGAGGTCAGCACTGAGGCACTGGGGGCCTGGTGAGGCGGTTTTTTCTAGTTTGGCATGTTCACGTCCAACCACCATTGCAGATGTAACAGCTGTGCGGGCCAACACACATCAGTGCGTGATAACAATGTGTTTAACGTTCATGACATCCTAGGGTTAACGACAGCATCTCCATCTTTAAAAGGTATCCTGTAGACTGGATGGATACTCGTCTCTGATTGGCTGGAAGGTATCCACTCGAGCCCGGATAACAAACACCTGCAGAGCCGCTCCCTCGCTATGCTAAGCGCTCCTTCTGCATTCGGCTTGATGTGAAATCAAAAAAAAAAAATCATCAACGTCGCTTTGCCTCCCTGTAACGCCATAATCTATGAGAACTACATCACAGAGGCTGTAACACACAAGAACGGCAAAAACCATCCTGCATATTTGAACTCTCTATCACATGAGTGATCATCTCATATCCTGTTCATTATTCAACTCCCTACTTCATACCACAGCTTACATTACATTCCAGCTTATTATAGCCTGTCAAATTCTTATAAATGTTTTATTTTAATTAACGGACAGCGATGTGGCTGGATAGCTAACTAGTCTTGTAAGACATATTAAAAAATAAATTAATTCTTATTGTTCATAATGTGTTTAGATTATGAACTCACAAGCATGATTTTAGCCTTTTGGGTTATAGCTGGTCTTTTTTTTCAGTATAGGGGTACAACATTGGATTCATCTTCTGTCATTCTTTCAGTCAGTCAATATGAGGAATTTGCCTCAATACAAATGCCTTTTTGTGCCGTCCTTCTGCTCTAATAGACTTTTAGTCAGATCTTTATTTCATTGTATTACTATAGTTTGTTTTGCTGCTTTTGTGTGTGTGTTATTTATAGGTTACTGTATATAGACGCCACCAATTTGGAGTAGGCCTCTAATTCATTTGTATGCAAGTCATTCAATAACAATAAAGGCGTTCTATTCTATTTCTTGTTCCCCCTGAAATAGTGACTCTATGGTAGCTGACAACTTTCTTTTTCTGTTTCTGCTGCGAGGCTGTAAAACAAGCCTGATTTTTTGTTATATAGTTTAGTTTCCAGAATCAATGTGACACTAGAACAAAAATCAGTACAGAAAATAAATGAAATACTCCTGAGGAGAGGAAAATGTAAGCATATCACATACAAGTGTTACACATTAGTTTTGTGTCAGTGTTTGAGGAGGAATTGAGTAAGTACTGCTGAAACTCACAGAGCAGGATTATGATACAGATGAGGATCGAGATGATAGCTCCAGTTCCAAGGCCAGCGGCTGCCACAGCCCCAAGAGTGGTGCAGTCTCCATTCTCATCGCATGGGCACACTTTTACTTTGATGACTGACCTGTTGGACAGCGGGGGGTTGCCCGAGTCTGACACAATTATGGGGACCTCATACATTCCCGGCTCTAAATATGTCTGGTACCGTAGAGCCAGACGGGCATAATCACCTGAGTGAAGAGGGAGGATGAATGTTAGGATATTTCACCAATTAGAATCTTTATCATCTTAAATATTCATGTACATCTTAAAAGGCCACCAAATCTGAGAATGGTGTAATATTCTGACTGGTGATTGTTTTCAGTACATTTTCAGAAAACAAAATGTTGTACATTTTGAATTAAATTTTTATCATTTAATTAGTTTTGCACTAAGAAGCCAACATCACATGCAACCAGTTTTTTTTTCAAGTGGAGGGAAATGATAACTTCTGCACAGTATACCTCACTGGGGAAATTATCACATTTTGTGTTTAAAGCCTCATTTAGACAGATTCAGGAGGAGACTGGAAAAACTGATACATTCTGTCAGTATCCTGATCCTTCTTTATTACTGATGTTATGTATGTGAAAACAGTTGAAATGATAACAGGCTCCCTTTTTTTTTACTAATGGGTGGAAAGACTTTGGAAACCATAGGCAGACATAAATGTAAGAATTTGTATATTTCCCACAGCATCTGATACATTGCCTTATTTATACCATTGCTATGGTATTCCTTCATCATCTTGAGGATTGACATTGTGCTGACACATGTAAAATGGGAGACCAGTCTGGATGAAGGGCAAGAGTTAAGCAGATAAATACAGTTTTAGGTGAAAACCTTCTTACAAGTAAGAATCTGACCAAACTGACGGGGTCTAGTTGAGCTTGAATGTATAAAACAGACTCTTTATCAAATTGAATCAGTCCAAACCCAAAAATGCAAGGAACGTAGGAAAGATCCATAACGTCATTCTTAATATTTGTACTTTCGTATCACTTTTCTCAGTGACTTTTCCTCACCACTGATCCGCGTAATCGTCCAGTTGCGTCGAATGCTGGTGGGAAAGCTGGGGAGTTCGAAGACAAAAGGTCCGGCGTTGGGGTCCACGTCGGCATCAGCAGCAGTGATGTTGACACCGTTGACGTTCTTGCTGAACCTTTCACAGATCTGAGACTCCCTGGGTACCAGCGCTGGAGGGTTGTCATTAATATCTATCAGAAAGATCTGCAGCGTGCCTGTGCCGCTGGCTGCAGGAGAGCCTGGGAGAAAAAAAACATTATATCAGAACGGGAGGAAAATATGACGAGAGAAGATGTGTGCAGTGAGAGGGACGACAGAGAGGGAAAAGAGAAGAGTTGAAGGCTGACAGAGCAGAGAAGAGAAATGAAAGGTAAGAACAGAGGAATTTACAAATGAGGGACAAAGGAGAGGTGAACGGGGCATTGTTCATTCATTCCCAGTGACGACGTTAAAGGTAGGAATGTTGTAGAGCTGGGGGAGAATTCCAACTTTTGACATAAATTCTTCTGACAGTTGTGCTTTTCAGCGCGTCCTTTGGCCTCGCAGCCAAATCGAACCCATCACACTCGATCCGTATGCAGACACGGCACACCCAATAACCACGAGGGTGCCTAGGCACAATAATGATGATTGTAATACAATAAAACAAGTCCTTGTCTGCGTGTATTGAAACAATACCACACGATTCCTCTATTATTTTGGACATAAAAGTGCTTCTGTTTACAGATTTAACATTGTTTTTCTGAAAAGTGTCCAGGGCATTTTTACCTGACACAGTTGTGCACTGTCACATATAGAATGATGAATAAACCCATGCAGACAAAGCGAACATGTTTTTGAAAAAAAAACATCTCCACTAATATACCGAAGCCTGAGACAGACCTTTTATACTTTTAGAGGTCCTGAAAGATGCATATCTGTTCCCAAGTAGTAAATGGACAAACTACAAGGGTACAAAAGCAGGACCTTTTGGGGCACCCCAAAAACCAAGTCTTTCACAGTTGAAGGTAAAGTTAGGTGTTTTCTTTTCTGAGAGTGAATAAACATCCCTTTTCAAAGTTATCAAATCATTAAGCTGGAAATCATGACAATGAACCAGACCATTATGACCTTGTGGAACCAGGGGAAATGAATGGAAGTGTGTTAGATTCAGCCAATTAAATTTTTGTCACCTCTTTCCATCCACAGTAGGTTATAAATGTTGGGAGAGATTGCGATCAAATGGTGTGAGAAGTGTAACTTTACTTGATTTGCTTTCAGAAGCTGCTGCACAGAGACGACACAACTGGAATGACTTCTCACATTTGGTCACAATTTCACTGACAGCTGTGCTGATAATAATGTGGTTATTAAAAGTGAGGACCGATTTGCTAATGATTTCCCAGTAATTTGGCACGTGAGTCTACATTTGGAGCCTGGAAATTGTTGACTCAACAGGAGAAATTAGCTACTTCAGGCTTGTCATTACAGGTGCGGTTTCATCAACAACATTGTCATTCTCGAACTGCAATAACGTACTGTGCTGCACACAGACAGAGGATTTTGAAGCCATGGCACCAGCGTGAACAACAATATTTACTTAGAATTAAAGAACAAAACACTTTAAACATTGAGCTACTCCGGCTAATTATTGGAGCAGCAAAATTAAATGTATGAAAGCTTTGGAGTTCTGACAATTTCAGAATGTGAGGGTAGGTGGGATGTGGGGGCGGGTGGGGGTCTTAGCAGTATAAAGTTCACAGCTATTTACTGATTGTGTGCCAAGAGGTGACGACCCCTAGCAACCAATTATTCAATTCATTTCCTTGTCATGCCCGAACAACCGAGCCACTGCGTGCACTCCAGCGACCCCAGGTCCCTTCTGTGGGCCCAGACGTGGGCAGTATAATTTAGAAAAGATTTATGCAAACCTTACAGGTCTGACAATTAAGTGTGGCAACCGAGCACGACATTTGCTATAAGATGAGTAAAAATGCTTTAAAAGATGTGCCAAAAGCAAGTCTGGCAGGAGCTAAACGTACCAAACAGATTGCACCAAAAAAATCTATTTAATTGAATTTGAAATGTGTTATTTAAATCTAAATTTCATGTGTAATTGAAGGGGTTGAACAAACTTAAAGTAGCAGTTTGCACGTCTAATAGACGACAAAGGCATGGATTAAAGATTTGTTAAATCTTGTGTACGTCTCAAAGTGTAAAGTTACATGCAATGTCTATAGAGCTTCAGGTAATATCATATGATAGATTTAAATCTAATAATTAGTCATCTGATAGAATGATATCAACACTATCAATTCCAAATCCCTCATCCAGAATATCTGTTTTTCTAAATGCCATGAAAACCGTGTGTTCACATCAGTTAAAAAAATGTCGCATCACCAGCTACTTCTAAATGTACCAGCAAAATCTAAAGTACAGTACTGAATAAAGGATACACATGAGCACATCTCCAAAAAGACACACGGCTAACAAACACATGCACTTGCAAAAGAAAAAAAGAAAAAAAAAAGAAAAACACAAATATGCCCACACAAATTTGCGCTCACACAGCGCGTTCTGTGGGTTTGTTAATCCCAACGATGTATGGGGGACTTATGGAAGCAGCTTGCCACCGCTGATAGGAGAATTATGTGGGTTTTAACCAGCTAAATAAATAATTATCTTTGTGTAAATTCCTCACAAGGATTTGTATTAACTCACTGTTTTAACGGTGAATGAGAAATGCAAAGGGGTGGGAAAAAAAGACTTGGTGCACCCAGCCATGTACCCTGTGAAGAACACACACACACACACACACACTTACACACATAGCCTAGGTGTTTTCAAAGAAAAGTGTGTCAAAACCGTCTGATTTTTGTCAAAGTAGGGGAGGAGGAGGGATGCTGTCACCACCTCCACGTCCCGCCCTACTCTCCTTACTGTCTAGTGGTACTTCTTACCGTAATCCTTCTCATGTTGTGATGGCTGGCACTTCAGAAACACCCACGTAGTCTGACTGATGCACTCATTCTCTCACTCACACAGACACACAACCTACATTTTCAGCCAAACCACGTGGGCACGTGTAAACTATTCACATATTTGAGGTCAGTGGAAGAAAAAAACGGCAAAAATGGTTTCTTTAGGAAAATACAGGACCCACTTAGGTGTAAGGAATAACAGGGAGAACAAAACACGGAGGAGTGCAAACAACAATAGAATGTCAGCCTCTAAACCTTCCCACTTCCTTCATATCCAGAGAGCAGTTACACATTCTGACACTGTCAATCATGGCAAAAGTGCTGCACAGTAAACACACACTCGAGCTTGTATAAAAGTGCTGCACATAAGACCAGCCACAGATGCTAACACTTATAAACATGGCAGTGTTTCAAGGCTGGCTCAACTCAAAGTAAACACACCAGTGCACTGCATGTCACTGATAAGGCAATTTAGAGTGGAAAAAAAACATTCCCTCTTTACTTGAGAGGAAAAAAAGCACTCAATTCCACTTGAGAAAAAGGGAACTTATTTGTCTGCTGTGATTGAGTTGGTGCTTGGTTAAGCTTAAATTTCAACTTTGAGGCAGAACAAATAACATATGCAACAGAAATTTCGAGCAAGGGAGGGTGAAGTTAGGCTCGGACAGAAGATAAAGGAGGCAGAGAGGAGAGGATCAACAGTGTGACCAGCTGTGTGAATCCAATATTTTCTCTGAGTGTGGTTCTTGAATGCTGCACGTACCTGTATTTTTCTAAATCCCCACAAATGGCCCTGCAAAGCTGATACGCGACATTGTGCTCAGAAAAAAACACTTTGTTTAGGTCGCTCGCTATCCGCTGCACTCAATTCATGTTTATGTTTGATATGAGGCTCCAGACATTTAAAATGTTCTCATTTTATGGCATAATTGATGACATTGTAAAGTTCTAACCAAAACTACATTGCAATACGTTATAACTTTTGCTTTTACATTTAAAACCTGTTATATGACTGGAAAAAAAAGCCATCGAAATGATGTTCTTACCATTGTCTGTAGCTAGAAAGGTGGCTTCATAAACATTGTTCTTCACATAGATGGACTCCCGGTCGAGCACTGCTGTTGTAACTATCTGACCGTTGGTTCTGTTGATGGACAACCAGTCCGCAGGGTCATTCAGCTTTGAATACCTAAAAACACACATGGACGGATGAATGGAGAAGTTAGTGTCGGTGTTTCCAGGTCTACAAGCAATTACAAATGTTCTCTTGTGCCTGTGCATGTATAGATCGCCTCCAAATACACACACTCGCAAAATCACAACAGCCTGACCATCGCAGTTTAATTCTTCATTGACTTTTTCCGAGAAGCCTGGAGCCTACAGTCAATTTCACCTCATTTTTCACTCCTGTGTACCAAGCAATGAAGTCAATTACCTCCCTAGTTAAGCACTGCTGCAACCACCTGTGTGTGTGTGTGTGTGTGTGTTGCCCTTTTTTCTATAAAGTGTTTGCTTAAAGCGGGGGAGTGCTTAAACTGCCCGAATGGGCTTCACACATGCATTCTGCGCCTGCATGTTTGCAAATGTAGCTGTGTGTGTCTGAGGGTGCAGCGTGGAGACGGGACGATAAGATCGTGGTGCTGATCATCGAACAGGAAAGTACCTGTGGTGGCAGGTGATGACAGTCCTCTGGGATAAAGGGCAAAGACGGAAGAAGGGGATCATCTCCAAGATTGAATCCCAATCTCTCTCTGATCTAACTGTTCTCGTTTCTCGGGCTTTCGTGGCTCTCGGCTTGTTTTATGCTTTCAGCTATATCTGATCTCTGTGAACCTGTGCCTCCTCATCTCATCTCGCTGTGCCTGGGATTTGTACATTTTCTTATCCCCGTGTGTATCCTCTCACCCCTGTCTCATTTGCTCGGTGATACGCAGTCCATCAGCTGCCCCCTCCCTCAGCTGTAATCTTATCTTAACATGTGGAGCATCACGCCACACCGTCATTTCAGGCTCATTAATTCACTGCAAGTTGAAGCAAAAAGTTTCTGTCTCAACTGGGTGTGTCGTGCAGTTCCAGATTCAAAGCTTTGACCATATCTTTTTTTGTTTACTTACTTGTACTTAAGTGTGCGACCTGCTTAATTTGTCTTCTAATTAATTTCACATTCATACCGTTCTGCTTACATGGAAGCAAATGCAGCCCTTAGAGGAATGAGTGGCATTAAGGAGGGGGTGGCCAGAGAGTATAATCTCCCCCCTGCAGAGGCATAGGTGGGATTTTCCCAGCAGGCGGCGGGCATGATCCCAGGCATAGAGCAGTGCGGGGAAGGGAATCATAGAGATGATATTACCACACTCTAGACACTTTCACACAAGGAAACCAGGCCCACTCCCACTAACTGGCAGACTGTGAAATCTCCGACAGGACTACAGTGATTCACTGAGCCAGGTACAGTGGGAGGCTGGGATAAAAGGGTGAGGAAATGATCAGGACCCGGTGGGAGGGGAAAGAGTCTCAGGAGGAGGGAGCGAGAAATACAGAAGAATCCCGGTGTGATCAGATGTTAATGTTCAAATTGACTTGACTGACTTGACATCTTCTTCTGCTCAATGTCCAGTTGCAATTCTTTTCTGACTTCCAGTGGGGTGTCCTTAATCTGGGTACCGGGACAGTAAGGGCCATCTGATGTACAAATAAATAGACTTAAAAAAAGAGACTATTTGGAATAGCTTTAAATGACTCAGGTATGAAACTGGCACATTACAGGTGCGAACACTTCTTGTGATCTTTTCCACACCATCTTTTGTGTAAAAAAAATACAAGGCTATATATATATATATATATATATATATATATATATATATATATACATTCACAGTTTTGTCCCCCATTTATCTGTAAATTTAGCCTTTAAGTAGCTCTTGTACTACCTTTATGTCAATAAACATGAAATAAATGTCTTGTCATTTTATTTCACCTTTTTAAAAGAACAGATTTCATTTTGTCAACGGGGATTTGATCATGTACAAAATGTTTTAAATTCCAACTGCTTGTGAAAACTCTGCAGTCTCTTCTGGTGTCTAATTTCTGGTGCTCTGTCAGTCTCTCTTACACCAGAAAGTTCCTCTCATTTGGGAATTGGTCGGTGTGCGAGTACAGCTGGATGCATGATTAGGCCTGGCAGGTTAGTGATCCTAGCAAGCAGCGGGGAGAAGCATGACATTTATTTTTCAAACCCCCGACCCTGAGGATGAAAAATGCATGTCTCAAGCTTTGCCAAGGTGGTTTGGGTAATCATTTATGCCAGTGTCTCCAGTCCCCTATCTCGACCTTACTGGTTGGATGTCTGACAGGTGATGCATGATGCGTCACTCTCTTTTCCTCATGTGCACGCTGCCCTGACCACAACAGGACACTGCCAGTCTGGCCTGTTTTTGATAAGCACCTGTCAAGTCCAAACCCTGACCCGGAGTCCACACAATAGCCTCAACTCCCTTCTGCTTCCCTCGATAGTCTCTTAAACTCTTTTCACCTTACTTTTGACTTCTAAAGCTCTTTGTAAAATCTGTCTATGGCCTCTCTTAATTTATTCCTACAACCCAATTATAAATATGATGTCAATGTCATGGATATAATTGCGAATATTGCATGTAAAAAATAACTTTGATTTCAAAACAAACCAGCATTTTGATGTTTCTATTCCTGTGAGATACTCAAATATCAGGGTACATGTTAATTTAGTTGTCTCTGCAGCTGTTCTACATGTTACCAAATCCTATGATTTGACCATTGTTAATGTGCTATATTACAATATCATACATTATGCTGTTATCTTAAATTAATACTTTTAAATCAAAGGCAGCGTAATAACACATTTTAGTGTTTTTTGTTTAAACACTCATTTTAACACTAATTTTTTATGTGTTACAAGGAGTGGAGAGCAGGACTATTTGGTTCACGTTCATGTCAAAACAATTATGGCAACTTCAAAACACAGTTAATTCTAATTGTTCTAAATCATGTGCAGCCAATTTACTCTCATTTGCTGCAGAAATACAGTATGTTTATATTACACCCCCTTTTCTGAGAGCTAAAAATGGCTGTGGTGAGATGGTAGGAGAGGTGGTGGCATTCATGTTACACCAAACATTTGTGTTATCATCTGGATTGCGTACCTCTTACATTAAATTACAAATAATACAGACATGCACAAAATGTGTGCAAATGGAAAGAATATAGCCGTCTGTCCAAAACAAAGCACTTTTATTGCACTACCTCCAAACTTTGAAAGGCAACAGTGCGGTTACCACTGCTGACAAGCTGACAGCTGAACTGAGGAAAGGCCCGCTGGTCATTCAAAGGCTGGTTTACATTTAAAATCCACAGAGGCTGCAGGTGGAGAAACAACACTGCGGGTGAACATAATGCAGTGTCAGGTGCTTGGGCTTTCGCCAGCTGTTACGTCTCCCTACCCCTCTTCACTCCCTTTTGTTCTGTCTTCTCCTTGTATATGTATGTGTGTCTCCTTCTATGTCCGTGGCCATGTGACTTACAAAATTCACACATCTGCATACCCTCAAAGCTATTGCTCCCTATTAACCTCTATACCCTCCTTTCGCGTAGCTCCCCACTGGCTCATAAACCTCACACAGTAAGACTTTGAAGTATGGGTAAAATTTGAATATCCTTGTTGAACTCTGACCCATAACAACTAACACAACCTATCTTGGGAGGCATTTTACCCACTGCTGATTACGAGGGGTTTATTTCCAGTACTCAAGGACCAGTTAGAGACAATTCTAAATAGTCTTTGTCAGAAAATCAGCTTTATGAAAGACATGCAAGTTTCTGTTTTCTGGAAAGGAGAAATATAAAAGGATGTTACATAAAACCATGCATGTTTAGTAATCCCTCCAGTACCTGATCACTTGCTGCATTTGAAGTTTGTCGGGATCAGCGGCTGAGAAGGTCGTCAGACTGGTACCTGCTGGAACACCTTCCTCAAACCGGATGTTTTTGGGGTTCGTTGGGAAATATGGAGGTTCATTGACATCCTGAACAGATATGGTGACTCCAGCTGTGGACTGGAGAGACGACTGGATGCCACTGGCTAGGTGGGCCTGGTTAGATACCACGACCGTCAGCATGAAGGAATGGTTCATCTCAAAGTCCACTGGCTGCAGGAGGAAGCAAAGGGTTGTAGACAGTGTAAACAATTTTTAATTAAATTTACATACAGCCCTCCAGCTGGTCTCCGTCCTCGCCCTTTGCCCCAAGTTGTACTCATTTTCAATTTTGATTTCAAGCAATCAACAGAGATTCTGGAGCATACCCACACAATCCCAGATGAAAACAAGTAACTATCACAACATTCTTTTCTGTTCTTTAGAATTTCCCCGATATATCACTTAGGTTTTAGCTCATATTAATCAAATATGCATTTAACGTGGCCATGCTAAAATCCAAAGTAAAAATTGCATTACACAGCTCTAAAAGATTAGAGCATGGCCCTATAATTTGTCACAGGAATACTATTTTCAGCCCAGTTTCCAACCTCCAGACATTTAGTCCTTTTAACTGAGGATGGAATTGCTGAATCAGTGATAGCTAAGATAGTTTGATAAAGTCTCAGAACTTTTATTAAAAGTGTTTTATGATGGTGTACCATTTTCATGAGGAAGTGACGTGGAGGACAGAGCTAAATGTAGATGGGGGCAGTAATAGCCTCTTAAAACCTCTGTAGACCCTTAGCAAACAGAAGTTCTAATAATGTGAAGAACGCCAATCTTAGTGTTCTGCTGAACGTTTGTGTTTTCTGCGTAGGAAACAAGAAGGTGAAACTGTTTCAGATTTCATGAGAGACAAGCACCTCTGTCAGGGAGATAAACTGAGATGCTTCAAATGACAGATGAGACAGAATAACAATGAATTACACTAAAACTACTGAAGCAACAATGTCCTCCACAACACCGGCTTTTGAAAATGTTTGTTTGCTGTGTAACCACCCAATAGTGAAATTAAATATCCTTCCATCAAGAAATGGTTTAGGGAAGAAAGGCGTTCAATACATTCTGTAAGGCACAAATAAAAAAAACAATCCACCTTTATGACATAGTTTGAAGGAAAAGCAAATATTGCGAATGGAAATACATTATTTGTTACAAATAATCTTGCTTCAGGTTGCTAAATCTTTTACTTATGTGAAACAAACCAATGCTGACCAACATGTTCTCCGT